ATCGTGATTTTGTTCTTTAGTGTGCATGAGTATTTGAGAACACCGAGAATGCCTTTTAAGAAAGAAATCACCCTTGTTCCTGTGAAATCAAATACAAGTAACTAAAAATGCTGTTATCTTTAAGTGACAGAGAAGCTTGAGTAAGAATGGAAGAATTGTTTAAATATACAGTAATGAATTAATATATTTTCTATTTCTTTGTTTAAGCCTCTATGACATGAAAACTGGACATTGGCTGTTGTAATATTTGGCTTTCAGGAACGTTTGTCAGGTACATATAAAGACACTGGACAGGAGGGCACTATTTATGACATTTTATAGGTCTATATTAATCTAAAAATTAACGGAAATATATGTTAATTAGTTGAGCGCTATCATTGATTAGTTGAGAGCACAACCGTGCCATAACTCCATAATGAGCTCCTGTAAATATCAGTGTAAACAAAGCCTACGCAGACAGAAATAAAGCGGAGACAGTTAAAATGGGGAGTGTAATAACGGTGCTGTTAGCGACACATAACAAATAAAGTTATAAGGCGCTAAATAATGAGCTCGTGCCGCTCACCTTGCGCGTGTTCAGCCGGCCTCCTCCTCCGGCTGGTCGTGTCCGGGCTCCCCGTGGACGACAGAGACATCTCCGCCGGTAAAAACACTTCACCGTTTGCTGAGTGTGTTACCGGAGCCTGACCAGATCATCTCCTCGGATGCTGCTGTCGCTGTCGCGTGGACTCACTGATTTAATGAGTGTTATGGAGCGTGGAATTGTGGGAAATGTAGGCCTCTGGCGTCTTAAAGGGAAAAGCCACAATAAAACGCAATAACTGTTCACTTCAGCTCAGCCGAGCCTTTGTTAACGGAAAAATAAAAATACAAAGTCGTCTGACTAAATAAATAAATATTTTTTAATATATGTATATTTGTTTTTATTTCAGCTATTTAACTTTACAATAATTACATTTTGTTATTAAAAAGGCTAAGTGTGAGTGGTATGGAGTCTTTTACCCTTCTTGAACTGTTGCTAGTACTGAAGGTGTTGCCAGTTTAGTTAATTCATTTGAAAGGACTCCCGGTGTCCGGTGCAAGTCGTGAAACAAACACTTCTTATTAATTATACTTCTTAATAATTATATAATGATGCTGGCATATTAGTGAATTAAACATTGTATTTCATAAATATCGCATGGTTTGTGTGGTATACAACGAGACTATTTTAGGTTTGTGAATCTTGGTAAAATACAGAATTCGGTGTAAATAGAAAACGAGATAAATGACAGCACTGAACTTACTTACTAAATGTTATGAAATGCATCCAAACCCAGGTCATTAATACCAAGGACCAACAAACAGCTGTTTCTCTTTCTGTTTTTATCGCTCTTTTTCACTAAAAAGGTCACATCCTTCAGCTTAGTTTCACTCAATATTTTTCTCTTGGTTATCCATGCTCCACATCCAGTGGCCATACAAACGACCGCGGTTGCTATATCTGAAAAACAAAATAATAATAAACTGGGCCAATTTAGTTGTATAAATGTGTTAAAGAGTGTAGATTTCCACAGTTATGTGGTGCGTTTGACTTGAAAATGACTGTAGGCCAGCAGAAACACAGAAAATAGCTCCACGATATGGTCACATGTAGCTATGACATGAAGCGGTTTGTCCTGTTTTTAGGTTTTAGCAGAGGTTTCGTACTATAAGCACCAAACACACTTTTAAAATGGAAAAGGTTAAATAGTTGCCTTGTTTAAAAAACGCCATGAATAAGACATTAAAGCACACAATGGTTACATTATAAATCCAGACAGCAGGTTCTTTGCAAAGTCAGTGCCTTATCATCAGCTTCTTTCTTGCTACGATAAATATATCTAAATAAATTTTAAATAAATTAATTTAGAACTGTAGCACAGAAACTCTCTCACTATACTGCACACTGTCCCAGAATACTTTAAGGATCAGACAGCTCCAGAAACCATCTGAGCTGTCCAGACTTTAGTTTTTTGGAGTTAGGAAAAAAAAAACCTACACAATTTTTCAATGAAAATCACTCCACATATATGGCTGTTGTAGTTATTTTGATATTTATTATAGATGTCCATTATAGAGGTGACTGCAATTGCCAATTCACATTTAGTCTTCATATAATTTATTGAACGGCCCCTCAAATTAATAATGATCCTCTATAATTATCCACTTGTGCTTTTATACATTTCAGAAATAAATGCTTAAATGAATGTCTCAGTATTATCTGATATATTTAATATGCGTCCTTTAACAAGTGATGTTTAAGTTGGAGGTCCTGAAATAGAAATCCTGACGAGCTAGTTTGTATCTATCACGCAAATTTTTAAATGTGTCCACCAACAGACACAGCGCTGTCAGTCCTCGTCTCCTCCACTGGATAAACCTGTTATCATTTGCAGCAGGTTTAACTAGTGTTATAACTTAATCAGAGGAATCATGAATTTGAATTTTGGCCACATGGCCGCAACTGACAAACAAGCTTTACATTGTAGTGTAAAGTTAGAGACCTTTGCATTTCAGAAGGAAATGGTCGCACTCAGGCAGACTCAGAGTAAAGCAGTGCACACTGATTTGACTGGTGAATGAGAGACGGTGCAATCAAAAAGATCCCACAGAAAATTTGCTTAAACTCACCAGCGTGTAAAACTAGAGACTGATGATTGAAAACTCTTGTACATTTTATGTGAGCTAGGCTTAACTTTGTTGGGCACTGAATCTGGGTCAACATTATCTCCTTTTTCTCCTCTAATGGAGGCTGGTCCAGTATGGTGAAGAAGATAAGAAAGAAAGTACTGGGAAATACTGCTCCTTTACATTTAAAAACTGGCTCTCATTTCATCTACCACTTCTAGGTCATTTCACTCAGTTACTAAGTATGAAAACAAACTATTCAACCTCAGCTGCTGTGTTCCAGTCAAACATATTTTTCATCTATAAAGATTGCTTACTGTGAAAAAAATATTTAGCATCTTAAGAATTTTTTTTTGTGGAAAATAGTTTTTAACTAAACTTTTGCATTCAAAATAATAACCTATTATTTGACTAATCTTATGTGTAGTTTGGCATTACATTTGGCTTAGCTTAAGATTCTGTGCATATATCCACTGTGTTGGCCTGTCTTCACATGTCGATGTTGCGTAAATGTTCAACTGTTAGAGGAGTAAGATAAACAGCTGACATGGTCAAATGTGAGATGTCCAGATTATTGCGTTCTGGCAAAATAAACATTTGCTGGCAAATAAAACTTGAGGCCATGCAGACCCTAAAAAGGTCTCTGTGACCCAAAGTTGGACCTGTAAATAAACTCTTTAATCTCAAACAAACAAATCATATTACACATAACCAAAAACAAATGAAGAGTAGGAGGCTGATACAACATAGGAAGGGGCTTTTGAGATCTCATGCCTACATGTAAATGTAGCAGCAAATATAAAGCATTCACTTCAGAGCTCTTTGGGTCAAAATGGGATCAAACCATGGCAAAGTCCTTGTTTTCTATAGATAAGAACCTTGTTTAACAAACACACTCCAGTGGATGTACTGGGGGCAACTCAGGGTTCAGTATCTTGTCCAAGGATGCTTCAAGGATGCAGAATGAGGAAGTTTGGAGCACAAACAGACCCAGTCTGTCTTATGAGCCACATTCACCCAGTTAAGACAGTACATATGGAGAAGGTGTGAAACAGCTAATGATCCAAAGCATACCACATAACCTGTAAAAGATACTGGAGTCAGTGTGATGGCACTGGGACACTAGTGTTTGTTGATGATATGGCAAAGGGCAGAAGCAGCCAAATGAATTCTAAAGTTTTCAAAGACAGTGTCTGCCCAAATCCAGCTAAACACAGTCAAACTGACTGGGGGCATTTCATAATACAGATGGGCAATGACCCAAAACATACAGCCAAAGCAACCCAGGAGTTTATTAAAGCAATGAAGTGAAATATTCTTGAATGACACACTCAGTCACCTGATCTCAACCCAAGTGATCACACATTTCACGTGTTGAAGACTAAACTTCAGACAGGAAGGCCTGCAAACAACAGTAAAGGCCTGGCAGAGCATTAAAAAGATGGAAAACCAGCATCTGGTGATGTCCATGAGTTCAAGAATTCAGGTTGTCATTGGCTGAAACCAGAAATAAACATTTTATTTTCAGTTATTTAATTTGTCCAAATAGTTTTGAGTCCCAGAAATGACGGGATTGTGTTAAAAATGCTTTAGTTCCTCAAATTTTTATGCAGTCTTTTTTGTTCAACCCAGTGAATTAAAGCTGAAAGTCTACCATTTGACTGCATCTGAGTTGTTAAATTTAAAATTCATTGCGTTAATGTACAGAACCAAAATTAGAAAAAAAGTAGCCTCTCTCCAAATATTTATGGACTTAACTGTAACTGCGAAATCAGGCTGCACTGACATGCTATCAGATTGGATCCATGCAGTGTTAGTTTTAAAAACAAAATAAGTGTAAGTAAAACAGCAGATTATTTATACGTCTTGATGACGTTGTACAGTGGTCTGCTATTCTAACTTAATAATATGAGAACTTTACCTTTTCTCATAACGTTGGATCATGTTTTGGAAAACTCCTGCTGGACTTTGACTGATATTTTCCCTAAAATGAACTGAGACAACCAAGTTTATCTTGTACTTGATTTCAGTTGTTTTGTTTAATAAACTGCTACAAAACTCTGTTTAAATGATAGTACTATAGTAGACAAAAACTAGCAATTTGTTACAAATTCTGAGGAACAGTCAATTTGCTTGTCATTGTGCACTTGAAAAATAAACATTTGGTGACAGATACAATTTGAGGCTATGAAGACCTTTAAAAGGTTTGTGTGACCCAGATTTTGGATTTGTCAACAGATATTTAAATGTTTCTGACTGTCGAAAGTTGCTAAGCTTTGATTGGTGTTTTTTTTTGACCGAGGAGGTGGGTTTATAAGAAAAAAAAACTTTAGGGTTGGTAGCAAATAAATGGTACAGCTGACTGAAACTGTGCACTGGAAGTGTCCAGATCAGACAGCTGAGAAACCATGGCAAAGTTCTGGAGTGCCAAATTTTTCATGGCACTAGCTTGGCTAGGCTCTTTAGCTGGGACAGAGGTGGAGGCTCAGGAGATTCCACCATACCCGTGGCAGAAACCCCAGGACTCTCAAGTTCCACCGTACCATCCTCCTCCGTGGCAGAAAACCCAGGACCCAATTCCACCATTCCATCCTCTTCCTCATCCTCTTCCAAAGCCCCTGAACCCTCAGATCCCTCCACCATACCGACCTCCTCCACCGCAAGATCCTCAAAAGCCTCGACCTCCTCCTCCTCCTCCACCTCCGCCATACCAGCCTCCTCCGTGGCAGATTCCCAAGAAACAACCTCCGCCTCCTCCTCCACCTCCACCTCCACCTCCACCGTTCATCCCTCCTATACCACCGTTCATCCCTCCTATACCACAAAATCCCCAGCAACCTCGACCACCTCCCCGGCCATTGCATCCCATTGTCCCACCTTTTCCTCAAGTATCCAATGATTACTTTCCCCAAAAACCAAATGTCCCAAATAATCCAAAGGTGCCTCCGACGCTGCCACCTGCTCAGAGCTGTGATGTGGAAAGAAGTGTGAGAGTCCCATGTGGAACTACTGGTATTTCAGGTGCTCAGTGTGAATCCATAAAATGCTGCTTTGATGGCAATCAGTGCTACTTTGGAAAGGCAGGTGAGGTTTTTTTGGTTTGTTTTATCTAATAAATGGCTTATATTAATTGATCCAAAGCTGTTGTCAACAAAACCTTGAAGTCTGATTACACTAAAAATATTCAAGTAAAAGTGGTGTTCTTAATCTTTATGTTGTTTACAGTTTGTCAGCAACATCAAATCCTTTATCTGCCTACTTTTTTTTTTATCACCAGTGACTGTCCAGTGCACTCGGGATGCCCAATTCGTTGTTGTTGTCGCCAAAGATGTTACTCTACCCCACCTTGACCTCCAGACAACCTCGCTGGCAGCAGGTGGTCCTGGCTGTTCATATGTTGACTCCAATTCAGCCTTTGCCATATATCAGTTTCCTGTTACTGCCTGTGGCACCACCTTTATGGTAAAACAGTGTATTCTCCTACTTTTCCACCAGTCAGGCAGGGTATATTTGTAAATATTGTTATCTTACCAACCACGTTTAACCTTTTGCAGGAGGAGCCTGGTGTAATAATCTATGAGAACAGAATGACTTCCTCATATCAGGTGGGGGTTGGGCCTCGCGGATCTATTACCCGAGACAGTCACTTTCAGTAAGTAAACATTTTAGAGTGTCCTGGCATTAAATTAAAGTTTTGGACTGTGTAGCATGATATCATTTTCTTTTTCAGCTTCATCTTCCAGTGTAGGTACATCGGCACCGATGTTGAAACTGTGATTGTAGAAATCCTACCAATACAAAATCACCCTCTGCCAGTTTCTGCTATGGGACCCATTAATGTAGTCTTGAGGTTGGCCAATGGACGATGCCTTACAAAGGGTTGTAATGAATGTAAGTGTATTCCAACTTAAAAGAGTCCATTCGTTTGCAAGATAATGTAAAATCTTGTAATAATAATTGACGTCTCTGTTCTCACAGTGGATGTGGCCTATACTTCATTCTATACGGAAGCAGACTACCCTGTGACCAAAATCCTGAGGGACCCTGTGTACGTGGAGGTTCAGCTCCTCAAAAAGACAGATCCGATGCTTGTCTTAACTCTTGGTCGCTGTTGGGTAACCACAAGCCCTTACCCTCACACCTTCCCCCAGTGGGACATTCTGATAGACGGGTAAATAAGATACCAGTGTACTCAGTCCTGTTTGTGACAACATGTAGAATTTTTATCAAAATGCATTTAATGCTAGATTTTTGAAGAAAATAATTTTATTAATATTTGGGAATGAAATAAAGACATGGTTTTGATAAATCATCCAATAATCTAATAAGCTGAAAGGTTCGTCTGTAGTGGACACACAGTATATTATTTATAATCGATCTTACCCATAGCTGGTATTGCTGAAGACAAAAAAACGGTTGGCTAGTGTTCTCTTAAATAAAATTGTTCTCCATGCACTCCATCCAGATGTCCATACCGGGATGATAATTACTTGTCCTCACTGGTACCAGTGGGTGCTAACTCTGGCCTGGACTACCCCAGTCATTACCGGCGTTTCGTTTTCAAAATGTTCACCTTTGTGGGTTCCTCAGTAAAGGACCAGATTGGACAGAAGGGAATGGATCCACTGCATGAAAAGGTAATTAGTACATCAGTTTGAGCAGTGTTTCTGCACTAACTAAATATTTTTCCCTTTTAACCAACACGCTTATCCTTATTCCTTCAGCTGTACATTCACTGTAGCACAGCCGTGTGTGTTAGTGGACAGTTTGCCAACTGTGAGCCAGCATGCCACAGGACAAGTAAGATATAAATTCATAGTCTCTAAGATTCAAATGCAAAATGATCTTCAATCTGATCATGTTTCTATTTCCATGTGTAGAGAGAGATGTCGAGGCTGAAGACCAGAAGACGAATGAACCAAAGACTGTGGTTTCCTCTGGGCCACTGATCATAACTGCTCCCGAGCAGTTAACAGCTTGACCTCAAGAACTTTGCTGAGAACAAGCTAAAAAAATCTGCAACATGAAAACGGTTATTAGTAGTATGAAGTGGAAATTAGATTATAATGTAGTAGAAAAGAATTCAAGTGTGCTGTAGGAAGAAATATGTTTAATCATGTCATTGAGATTTATATTAAAGAAGTATTGGCTCCAACATGATGTAAATTAGTTAGTTTTTTGCTTGTACTATACCTTTTTTTTTTTTTACCAGTGACATTCCTAAAAAGGAGAACCAATTTCTGTAGTACCCAAGTCATGCCTTTATAATGAATCCTACATAAAATACAAAAAGTCATCTTTCCCCAACCACATCCCTTTATTTTAAGAAATGTTTTAGAAAAAATTAACAGATAACAGACACCTTCCCAAAATGATTTTGGGAAGGTGTCTGTTATCTGTTAATTTTTTTTCTTGTTTTTTTGTTTGTTTTGGATGATTTTGGCAAAATCATCCAAAACAAACAAAAATACAAGATATTAGATATTGGTTCACAGCAAATCTGTAAGCAGATATATGGACCCAGAATGCAGAACTAAACTCAAAATCACAGCATTATAACTGGTAAACAGGTGACAAAAACCAAAAGCTAAACAACAGATACTGAGACATGACAGATTGGGGAGACACAGGGACGATGAGATGAACGTGGCAACATGGAGGCGGAACACATAGAGACCAGACAGACAGGACTGGGGAGATCAAAAGTAAACAGAAATTAAATAAATTTGCAACGTAATTTATGTTCCAAATTATAAACTAAGGTGAAATTTGTGCAGAAAGTTTAAACTCTTCAGACAGATTAGCGTAATACACACTCACCAGCCACTTTGTGAGGTATACCTGTTTAACTACTCGCTAATGAAAAAATCTAATCAGCCAATGGCATGACAGCCACCCAATGCATTTAGGCAGGTGCAAGTGGTCAAGGTGGTCTGCTAAAGTTCAAACTGATCATCACAATGAAGACAGATTATTTAAGAAACTTCGAATGTGGCATAGTTGATGGTTCTAAACACACTCGTCAGAGTATTTCAGAAACTGCTGACCTACTTGGACACAAATATCTCTCAGGTTTACAGAAAATGGTTGGAAAAATCCAGTGACTACATGGAAAAATGATGGAGAGAGGGATTTGATTTCGGCTGTAACATTCAGATGCCAGTAGGATAAGATAATAAGGTGAGAGATTCTAAGGTGCTCAATCCAGTAAAGCACCTTTTGGATGTGGTTGAATGGGAGACTGTCACACCTGTATGTGCAGCTGACAAATCAGCAGTAACTCCGTCATGTTGTATGAGTAATTTTATTTAATCATGAGTAATTTTCAGCACCTCATTGAATTTACCTTATGAAACAGCAGTTCTGATGACAACAGTGGGTCCAACCCAATACTAGCAAAGTATAGTTACTGAAGTGTATGTTATAAACTGAAAAATAAATAAATAAATAATAAAAATTGTGCCTTTTCAGTGTGCTTAAAAAAAACATGAACAAATACTGGTAGAAGAAAAATAAAATAAATGTTAAAGCCCCCTATTTAAAGTAACATTAGTAAAGTACAACAAAAACATGAAGGACGACTAAGGCTGCTTTAAACCGTGACATGAATTTTACAAAATATATTGATGAATGTTCAGAGATGTTGGTGCAGTTCTGAATTTAAATCACAAATGTATTAATAGTGTAACGCTAGTAAATGCAATAATTTGGTCTTACATATATTAAAGCTTATTTAGTAACAGAGGAAACAGAAAACAAATGACTTTCAGATATTTTATTACAAAAAAATTCCTAAGTATATATTTGCCATGTTTGAAAAGGCTTCTAACAATCTGTAACACTGATCATACAAAAGCTGTGGAACATCAGTTCTCCATGATACAAAGCCTGAAAGCTACTTAACTGGAGCTCAAAGGTATGCACTTTCACAGGTTTTCAGCTTAAAATGTACACTTGAAACTGAGAATGTAATTCCAAGAAATCCAGCTGTCAGCTTTTTACCACACAGCAGTAAACAAAGTAACAAACAAAAAACAAACAAAGCACTGATGAAAACTTTACTGGACTGCAGACAGCGTGTGGAAAAATGTTTAGATAACAGAAGTAGTGAATGTATGAAACAGGAAAAGGTTTCATTGCAATTAACAAGCTCTGAATTTTAGACTGTAATGCTGTATTTATTATAATAAATCAGGATCGGTATGACAGCACAAAACATTTCACTAAGCTGAAAAATACAGGAAAAAAAAAGAGACATCGGTCAAAAACCCACCAATGAAATATCAACAACCAGCAATGACTTTTACAGGTCTGATATATCTTTGATTAGACATATCTTCTGATTTGTGAACAACTGATTAAATGAAAGGACATGAAGGAAAATGACACACTAAGAATTTCCACATAAAATAACAGTGTTTGCCAGTTAACAGTAAAATATGAATAAACACATAATCACAGATCGCTGATTGTCTTGCAAGTAAATTTGACTTCATAAGTGCTGGTTTTCCTCCCGTACAAAAGTTACTAATGGAAGCAGTGTAGCGGACCATCACTGAACATCATACGAACATTTTATTGGCACAGGCGAAAGGTCTGGTGTTTGCATTTAACAGCAGCAGTGGAGTGTTTATTATGCCGCTCTATACAAAAAAAGCCATTTAATTTTATGGATGTAGGTTTTACCAACAAACACACACATGAAACTAAACAAAACAAAACCAACAGCAAAACGTGCACACTGAACTTCTGAGTCCCACGTTGCTCTTTTCCTGCTCAACAGTGCTGAATCAGGTGAAACGCCGCGCGAGCGTTACCACTCAACTGAGCGTCTCTGCATCAGTCAGACTTGTCCTTCTTTTTGCCTCCCCCTATAGGAACTTTGCTGGCTACTGCGGAGCCGACAGCAGTCACTCCTCCAGCGACAGCACACACTCCCCCTTTAACCAGTCCTACTCCCATCACAGGCACGGCGACTACGGAGGTGACAGCAGTTTTGGTGAGGTCCAGACCCTTTCCTCCTATCCAGGTCACACCGCCTACTGTTGCTCCCAAAGCTCCCTTGGTGGCACCGTATAAGCCCCCCGCCAATCTGCCGAACATGCCCGGCTGAGCCACTGGATGGTCCTTGTTGTCTGATTAGAAACATCAAAAATACCATCTTAC